AAAAAAGGGGGGGGGGGGGGGGGGTTAAGAGGGAAGGGAGAGGAGAAGCTTGCTGAGGTTGGACCAGGATGTTTACTGAATAATTTCTAATACAACAGTCAATATTTTTTCTTAATATTTGAATAGTTGAAAATAAATAGACTAATAGTTGGAAAAGAAAGGAATCTCAGCTCCAATTGGGATAATGGCAGAAAAATCGATGTGATCTTCTTACGTGTTATCACCCGACTACTTTGTGTTCATCTATTTTCACGTCCCGTATTGTCATACTTCAGAGTTCTGTTGTAACACTGAGGTCTGCCCGCTTCCCCCCTTACTGTGCTGACTCCGCATTTCGGTGTATAGTAATTGCCATCGTGTTCTCTCTAACAGGCTGAACTGCAGAAAATAAAACAGCAAGCCACTGAGACACAACAACTGATTGACAACCAGAAGGTGGAAGAGAGACGGCTCCTGAAGATTCTGTCCGACGCTGACGCAGAGAGATTGCAGCAGAGGAAAGAACTCGATCAGGTACAGTCATCATTTTCAATACAAACTGCAACCAGTCCACAGTTCTGTGATTCTGTGACATTAAAGGGCATCTTCCCCCAGAACTAGCTTTGTGTGATTGCTGGCAAGGTGAACCACCCCTTAAATCAGGCAGAAATGAATGCAGCTCTGTATTTAATAATACATCATTCAATGTATTTTTTTTAACTGAAGCAGTGCCTGAACATAAATGGGTATATGCCTGTTGTAGTCTCCTGTACAGCAGAGCTCAGAGGGGTGTAGGGAGAAGCAGCACAAGGTGCCAGTGCTGTGTTCTGCAGTGCAAGTAGCTATGCTGATAGGAGAGCAGAGATGTAAGCTTATCGGCCTGCTGCTTCTCCTTTAACTCTCCAGTCACAGGGTGGGAAGGGGGACTGTAAGTAAAAGTGAAACTGCAGGAGAAAAAAATCACATCCCTTCCCTTGCTAGACAGTGGTGAGGGGCAGAGCTTTAAAGCTGAACTAGGTAATATATCTTGTCCTGTACCTGTCCACAGCCTGTGGTTGGATGGTAAAGGAAGAAGCATCAAACTGACGCAGCGCTTTTACAAAGCGTAATTTCACATCAGTCCCTGCCCTCATGGAGCTTACAATGTATGGTATATAGCAGGGGTAGCCAAACTCCGGCCCTCCAGCTGTGGTGGAACTACAAATCCCATGAGGCATTGTAAGATTCTCACAGCCACAGACATGACTCCCGAAGAGAGATGCATCATGGGATTTGTAGTTTCACCACAGCTGGAGGGCCGGAGTTTGGCTACCCCTGGTATATAGGTATGCATACATACAGGGCCAATTTACCTTCCAGTATGTCCATGGAGTGTGGGCGGAAACCGGAGTACCCCACGCAAGCACAGGGAGAACATGCAAACTCCTTGCAGATAGTGACCAGGCCAGGATTCGAACAGTAGCAAACCTCCGGCCCTCCAGCTGTGGTGGAACTACAAATCCCATGAGGCATTGTAAGATTCTCACAGCCACAGACATGACTCCCGAAGAGAGATGCATCATGGGATTTGTAGTTTCACCACAGCTGGAGGGCCGGAGTTTGGCTACCCCTGGTATATAGGTATGCATACATACAGGGCCAATTTACCTTCCAGTATGTCCATGGAGTGTGGGCGGAAACCGGAGTACCCCACGCAAGCACAGGGAGAACATGCAAACTCCTTGCAGATAGTGACCAGGCCAGGATTCGAACCAGGGACCCCCGGTGCTGCAAGGCAGAAGCTACTGTGCTGCCCACTCCTATCAACATTTACCTTGTTTGCACATGAGCACTGCAACTCAGCTGCCCACTGGTGCTGCACCTCCCTCTCCCAGACTGAGCTAACTGCAATGGCCACTGCAAAGTGAGGGAAATCCCTGGACTAGGGTCCCCATTGGAAGATTTCCCAGCTATACCTGTTCTGGTGGCAACTCGTGCGATTTTCTTTCATCTTAATTAAAGACTAAAGGGAAGGCTGTTGTTCATCTTTAACTTTGTACCTATGGTGTGTCTTCATATCCAGGTGATCAGCGAGAGGGACATTTTAGGCACCCAACTGGTCCGCAGGAACGATGAATTGGCTTTGCTGTATGAGAAGATTAAAATCCAGCAATCCATCCTGAACAAAGGAGAGAGTCAGTACAAGCAGAGGGTGGAAGACATCAGACTGCTCAAACTTGAGATCAAGAAGCTGAGGAGAGAGAAAGTAATCCTCACCAAGACCGTGGCCAATGTAGATGACCTCAGGTAAGGAGATCCTCACTGTGACATTCATGTAGGGCAGTGATGGTCAACTTTTAAAGAATAGGGGTCCCCAACTACAGCCCATGACATCACCAAGGGCCTGCACATTATATTCATGCTATGTAATGCTACAAGACACTGCCATATACTACAGGAGATGGTCAGATACTGTGGACATGCTAAAGGTGTGTTTGTTCCCTGCTGAAACTGACACCATCTTGGATTACTTCTGTCCTTTATTTCTCCTATATTTCTACTTTCCCCCTCCACTGACGTCATCCATACACAGACAGAGCCAAGCTTCGCTTTCAGTGCAAAGAGTACAAACTCCAGTGACGTTGTCCATCACATGGACTTTCAAGAAGTTAGAGAAGAATCGTAAGAGCAATCGCTATGCCATGGTTATGTCATTGCTATCCCCTGCAAGGTGCTTGCTCTCTGTGCAGGTCTTGGCACGGTCAGGATGAGCCCTTAACTGCACAAGCACCAGTGGCATCATTAAAAGGAGTTACCGCGGTATCTCAGCAAAGGGAAGGCTTTAGATGATCATTATGCATCAGCCAATAACATTATAAGCCTGCTGATTGTGTAAAGATGAAATCTTGAGTTTACTTTAATGATCTTTAGTAATCTTTCAAGACAAAGTGACATGATATCTCAAAAGCCCACACAACCTTTTTATACTCCCTGCTGCTCTATTGGAGCCTTTGCTAAATACCCAAGGCTTTGGGTTATTGGGGAACATGAGACCTCCTCCCAAGATGCAATGCTTGGACCTCAAGGGTAGGTTAGTTGAACCTATTGCAATCCCAGGGGTAGGCAACATTGGCAATCCAGTTGGGGTCAAAGTTCAAATCCCACTGTGCCTGTGCCTCTGGGGGGGCATGTCTGTGGCTGTCAGAGTCTTGCAGTACATCATGGGATGTGTAGTTCCACAGCAGCTGCAGGGCCAAGGTTTCTCACTCCTGCAGCTGCAGTGCCAAGATTGCCCACTCCTGCAGCTGCAGTGCCAAGGTTGCCCACTCCTGCAGCTGCAGGGCCAAGGTTGCCCACTCCTGCAGCTGCAGAACCAAGGTTTCTCACTCCTGCAGCTGCAGTGCCAAGATTGCCCACTCCTGCAGCTGCAGTGCCAAGATTGCCCACTGAAGGATGTTGAGGAGCCCAAATCTGGCCAGGAGACCATCCTGCACTGTGCTGTAGAGTCTTCTTTAAGTTCTCCTCCAGACTGCCATCCACCCATCAAGGCATTTTGATATTTGCACAACTCCTCACAAGAGCCAGCCAGCTGCTATTGCGAGGAGTACTGGGGCAGGGCGCTGTGATGTTTTTTAGGAAGATATGTACAGCACCCTGCCAGCCTCTCCCACCAGCCATCATCTGCCTACACAGGGACCCAGTGATAACATCACTGGGTCTATAATAAGGAATGTAATGAAAACGAAAAGCTTTTATTTAAATATTTCAGTAGCATATCAGTGAAGGGGGGAAATGAACAACCAGGGAAGGCAAAGTATAAGCAGAGTAAAACTTCAGCTTTAACTTTTCCTAACTCCAGCCCTGACAATATACAGAACCAAAGCGATAAAGGCAGCAGCTGAACACAAGAAATCTGACTGAGCTGTCATGCTGAGCTTTGCCCTAATATGATCTTTCATATTATTCTGTAGAAGAAGAGTGGAAATGGGATGACATCTCTTGGATATTACTAGTACAGTTTATTATCCATATCTCCTTTCAACTGGTCATTTGCGGAGAGCTGACATGATAACCCGAGGCTGCACCCCGCTTTCTAGTACTCTAGTGGGAAGTTTGAAAAGTGTCAATCGCTTGTCCTTTTAAATGATTCATCAGAAAGCACCATTTGCAAAGTCAACCGCTCCACCGTCAGATAATTGGCTGCTCCCAACCAATTAAAATTCCCATCGCAGGCAGGCAGCGTGCAGCTTCTCCTTACTTGCAAGACCTTCTTGGAGCCGAGTTCCTGGAGCCTTTTAAAGCGATAAATGCAAAATGATTTGGGCGTGTGCCAGATTTACATAGTTACCCTTTGTCCTTCCGCAGCATCTCAGCCTGACGGCAAACAAGGATGACATGCGAACCTTAACTCAATTTTCTCAGACTTGCAGCCAGCTGTTGCATTAATAACAGATCGGTTTAAAGAGAACCAGTCACAGGTGGACTTATGCAAGAATTAAAATATCTTATTTATTACAGGTATTTGTATAGCACCATCAATTTACACAGTGCTTTACATACACATCCGTCCCTGCCCACAAGGAGCTTACAATCTAAGGTCCCTATCTCACATGCATACATACTAGGGCTGATTTAGTGGAGCCAACTCGCCTATCAGCATGTCCTAGGAGTGTGGAAGGAAACCAAAGCAAAGACACACACAAGCACAGGCAGAACATGCAGACTCCATGCGATTCTCGTACGTAGAACGCGCTACAAAACGTTCAGGTGTGAACGAGGGCTTAAGGTGCCCATACACCTTACGACCATCGCAAGACTTTTGTCTTGCGATGGTCGTATGCTTAATGAAAGCTCGTACGATCTGCCCACCTTGGGCTGAGGGGCGGGCTTCCGATGACCGCAATGCAGAACGGGCAGTGTGCGCGTGCGCACACTGGCCCGTTCCACAGCTATCGAACGATTCGTACGATTTTCGGCGGGTTTTCGAGCATGCTGGTTCGACAAAAGACGTGCGACCGTACAGTAGAAACGGTCGCACGTCTTTGTTCACACTGCTCGATTCTTGTACGATCGCGGGATTTCCCGCGATTCTCGTACGAGAATCGAGCAGTGTATGGTCACCTTTAGAGCTAACCTCTGGACAAGGAGCTAAATACACATATATGCAAGTTGTTTTACCTGCCAAAGGGTTTGTATATCTGTCCATCCAGCCTGGAGATTGAGTGCCCATTCACACCAGGGCAGTGGCGCTGATCTCAAAAGGGAGGTTTTAGGAGTTTTTAATTGCGTTTCAGCGCTGAAACACAATTAAAAACGCCCAAAAGCGCATTTCCATTGAAACCTGAATGGTCCACATAGCAATGTATGGGATCGTTTATGTCGGCGGATCAGCGCAGCCGAATCCAGACGGCCGAACCGCCCCGGTGTGAACGGGGTCTACATAGCTCTGCTGCTCAGCACATTCTGTCAAGGCAGGAGACCTGATTTTTCTCTGCTACACTTAGGGGAACTTTACCCTTATCTTAAAAAAGACACCAAAAGCACCTTTAAATAGATACTTATAGGTAATTGCCAGCTTTTTATTCTTTGCATTCCTAAACTTTCTTTTCCTCAACATTCTTCTCACTGTGGACATTTTTACTAAAGGCAGATTAATGCATCTCCCTTTACTTCCTGGAACTCTGGGTCCGCCTTCTGAAACAGGGCACATCATCTAAGGATGAACCATTTGCCTTTTCGCCATGATCTCATTATGTTTTTGCAGTTTATATGTTATTCCCAGGAAGGCACTGGTGATGCAGCTTTCCCAGGATGTATCTGTGAGGCCAGGGCTACATCACCAGTGCCTCGCTTATCCAGGAAGTGGAAAACCAGTCATTGTAAGGAAAAGCAAAAAATCTTTAGCAGTCACTTAGCAATCAATTTCAGGAAGTCTCAGTAAGGCCCGCATCAGTATATACAGAGCGGAAGCAAGTTCACTTCTGCACTGAAATTAAATTACTTGTACATAGTTCAGCTGGATTTTATTTACAATTTTTATTACAGGCGGGAGCTCTATCACATGCAGCGGGAGCTGATGAAAGAAAGGACGCGGTGCAGAGCCTTGGAGGAGGAGCTTGAGAACCCCATGAATGTCCACCGGTGGAGAAAACTAGAGGTATAACCTGTGCTCGTTAAAGAGGGATTGAGGTGTATGTCCAGGCAAATGCCAAAATTTGGCAGTGCAATAGGTAAAGTAGGAGGAGAAAGGCCAGAGGGAGCTGTCCAGGAGCCAGTCAGGATCATGGGTCGGTTGAGTATATCTCTGTTATTTTAGCTCCCTAGCCAAAAGAAGCACTTAACCTTTGGAGTGCCGGGGTAGCCTCACTGCAAGGGTTAAGATTTTATTTGCCCAGAAATATTCTCCAAGGCTCGATAGGTTGCTGTACATGTTTACCAACCTTTCCGTTCCCTTTAACTTCTCCAGCATACCTGCTGATCCTGCCAGCAAGGGTGGTGTAGGGTCACCTCCTTCAGAAGTGTGATAATGCTGTAGTCTGGCTGCTGCATTATCATCCAGTAGTCCTGTGCATCCCCACTGAACTAGCTCTGGTACACAGCTTCTGTCATCAGTGTCCATGTAGCACTTCCTCTTCTTGCTGTAGGTTGACTGCTGGATCCAGAGCTCAGGCAACCGGAGGAACAGATTGGGGTAATGGGACTTGAAGTTCTGTCCTTCCAGGGACGACACAAGCAAAGGCAGGCGGTCCACCTACGGTCATGATCCTGGGAGATCAGAGAGGAGGGGGTCATGCTGGCTGTTAAATCGCTTCCTTTGAGCCAAGGGTGTCATGGTCATGTCCCCTGAGGAAGAGTCATCACGACAGACTGGGCTTACTCTAGGCTATGTGTGGAAGGGTGAGGGAATGAAGGGCTCAGGGAAGGAATGCAGGGGTGGTTGTCTTTTTTTTAAATAAAGTCCTGTTTTATTTGTTATAGACTTACGATTTGCTTTAAACTAGGGATGCACAGATACTTTTCGAGTACCAATGCTGATACTTGGCATTTTCATGAGAACACCCAGGGTTGCAGCGGTTGCAACTGGGACCGGGCTCTGGCGCTTCACCACTGTCCTGAAATCATTAGTCTGTATTGTTTTAGAAAAACTGTCACATGACACTAAACAAAAATGTATCAGTACTTGTACTCGCAAAAATGGTATCGGCGCATCCCTTTATTTATATGTATAAAAACAAAATCATACATGAAAACAGAGATGTACTAATCCCGGGAGCTCCGTGTGCTCCTTACACATGACAGCTGCCTCCTAACTCTTGAATTTTTCTCTAGTCCAGTCTTGGAGCTGGAAAAGTATCGGTACTTGTACCGAGTACTGTACTTGGTATCGGTGCATCCCTACTTTAAAGCTTTAATCTTGAAATTAACATAGGTCTTTCTTTCTTGTCCATTGAGGGAGACAGGAAGTTATATGCTGTTTGGTTATACTGCCCCTTACAGGAGGATTGAACACTGGTAACAATCTGCAGGCCACCCTCTATTACCCAACATGCCTTGTTTTTTGTTAGTGTCGTAGGAGGACGGGCGTCCTTTCTTCAACTCTGCTGAGAAAAGTCTAACAATTTGTTGCCAGCATTTTTCCTTCAAAGTCTTCTTCATCTTGACTTCAGTCAAGAGTCCTTGCTACATAACTGCTTGAATGGGTCTCTATATGGCAGCCATCCCTACCACCCTTTCCTCAGCCTAGGTTTAGAGCTCCATACCTGGACCGCACTGGATTGGACATTGCAGGGCCAGCCTGGAAGTAACCTTTGGGCACTGGGTTCTGCATTAGGAGCTTTTCAGACCCATTCTAGTAGCAGGTTAGCAGCGGAGCACTTTCCATGCCATTGCCTCAGAGCCTGCCCTGTATTTGAAGAATCACTTTGTTAAGTAGGCCGATTGGGCTAAACACCGGGAGCTACCTCGTTATTTGCAGCGCTGGGCAGTTTTTGAATTTCCTGGTATCTCTGGTTTTACCACGGAAAGGGCCATTGCTGAGGGACTGAGCACTGACGTCATCTGCTGGGTGGAGCATCGCGTACATGTTCTCTTTTCTGCCATGATGCTTCCTCTTCACCAGGGGTAGGCAAATTCCATTATACCTCTTGCCTCTGGGAGTCCTGCCTGTGGCTTTCAGAGTTTTGCAATGCCTTATGAGACTTGTAGTTCCACCACAGCTGGAGTGCCAAGGTTTCCTACCCCTGACATAGAGGAAGCATCATCCTGCCGCTGCTCCTGCTTTACAAAAGAGCCACGCGAAATGCCAATCTCCGATCTATATGTCTACTCAGGACATCAGATCGATAACACGCCTGGTTTTAACTTTGCGAATATTAACTTGCATCACAGGATGAATTTTCTGGATGATGGTATTTGAGGTAACTGACCTTTTTTTGGTTGGTGTATTAGTTTCTCTTTTATACACAATCAGTTGGCAAAATGTCAGGGCAGATCCGGGGCAGTACCGCAAGAAACATTCAGAAGTCTGTAAATGAAAACTTGCATCAAAGTCACAACGTGCGTGGACAGCATTTCACTGATCTGATCGCAATCTGATTGGTTAGTGTTGGCTAATGATTTGCAAATCACAATTGCTTTTACAAGGCCATTAGATTTAAAATGTTTTATAATGGGTTCTGTGTAATAAAGAAGAGTAGAACTTTGCCAGCTGCCAACACGGGAATCTGAACAATTATAATACCATTGCCGTCCTTTCCTTCTGGCAAGTGTGGATCCTATTGTTCCAATACTATAAAGCTGAACTTACACAGCCCAGTCACATCACACCTTCCGGTTGGATGACGCCACTTACAGTTAGGTAATACAGTGGCCTCCTTTTT